CAAAGTTTCAAGGTTCGGATCCCGGAGAAGGCATGAATGTTTGAAAATATATAGTTTCTTTGAGGTATGGGGGTATTCTAAATGTATAGCGAGCCTAAGTGCTCTCATGTAGTTTGGGGATAGGAGAAAGGGGTAGAAGACCCTCGGACACCCCAGAGTTCTGTTTCTCAAAATTGGGGTGGAAGTAGAAGTCCAACCTTCTTGAAGTTCTGCAACCAGTCTTCCATGAAATACACTGACAAGACAGAAACAGTAACATTTGCTAGTTTTGATTTTGAAGCCGATGAAAATTTCGTGAAAACTATTAAAGAAATAATAAAAGATGAAGGTCATTTGGCAGAACAGATATTTAATGTAGATGAGACTGAATTATTCTGAAAGAGAATGCTAGAATGAATTTAATCCCTAAAGAAGACATATCAACGCCTGATATTAAATCCTTTAAAGACAGGATTAAGCTTATTATTCGGGAAACTTCTACTGATTTTTAAATTAAAACCATTTTTATTTAGTATTTACAATATACCAGAGCTTTAAAAATATTGATACGAATAAACTGCCTGTTTACTATAGGAGTAAGCCCAAGTCTTGGACAATAAATGTTTCATTTGACGACGGGCTCTAAATTATTTTACTCCAGATATTTCTTTATTGCTATTATAATTCTGCTGAGTATTCTGTTCACAACAGCCATTTAAACTAAAATACAAATGTAATACCTACAACCCAGTATAACAGCTGGGATTTAACGTATGCATCAAGGTTCGATAACTGCATTCAAATAGCGTTAGATTAAAATCAAATTTTCTTGAGCAATCAACAGCAATTGACATAGATGCTATAATATGACGCGACTTTTAGAAAAAAATACGATATTGATCAAAGTGAACATTATATCTTGGAACAAACTGGCGAAGAAGAGGTTGAAACAGCATGGCGGATCTAAATATTAAATATGGAGTATATACAAGAACTGATAATCCACTTCTTCGTCTTCCATGTTGATCTAAAACATCAATGCAGAATACGAAGAAGACGTTGAACTAACTAACAACTAATTAGATTAATTTCCAAAATAAAATAGTTGCAAAAGAAGAAAATAATAACGAGGCAATGGAAAAAGCGAGACAGCCAAAGCTATATGCTACAAAAGAGTTCGGATTGGATTTACTAGATTGGAAAACTTTGCTGCTGTAGGAAACGCTTAAAAATGCAGTGAGCATGATAGCTTGGTATTTGCTGGATGTAGACATTAAAAAGAGTAATACACAAGAACTGATCGTCCACATTTTCGTCTTCCATATTGATCGAAACACTGATATGGAAGACGAAGAAGTGGATCACAAAGGAGGTTTATGTATCGATCAGAATGGCGATCAGATTAACTTCCAAAATGAAATAGTTGTAAAAAAAAAAAAGAGAAAATGATAACGAGGAAAATGAAAAATCGAAACAGTCAAAACAATATGCAATAAAGGGGTTTGATTGGATTCCTCAGTTTGGAATAAAACATGATAGCATGATAGCTTGGAACAAAAAATCTTCGTGGATGAAATAGTGCGTATGCTAGATGTAGACATTACGTATAGTATGGAGAATATACAGGAACTTCTTAGTCTTCCATATTGATCAAAACATTAATATGGGAAACGAATAAGTGGATCGCAATGAAGAGGAACTAACTAATGATGATCAGATTCATTTCCAAAATAAAACAGTTGTAGAAGAAGAAAAGAATAACGAGGAAGAGGAAAAACAAACGGTCAAAGCAATTTACAAGAGCTATTCCAAAACAATTAGATTTCGCGATTTCTACAGAAAACTGGCTCTTACTTATGCAACACACGTGAAAAACCACGAAAATTGCCACGCAGCCAGCCCCTTCGTCAGGGTTTGAACCCGAATCGAACTATCATTGATCGACACTTTAACCCCTCGGTTAATGGGGAATTTATTAAAAAAAAAAAGGCTTATCTGAAGCATTTTAGAAATTAAATCAACGATTTCAGCTACTCATAAATTTGAATTAAATACTGATCACATCGTCAACGCTGAAAAGTAAACTCGAGGAGCCATCTATTACTATCGGGACACATGCAAAGATAAAAAAAACAAACAAACAACTTTAACGAATTTTCTGTTTAAAGAAACTCCTTCCAGTTGATATGAAGCATCGAAATCAATAAGAATTATTCAGCTTTATTTTTAATTCAGACATAACTGATATATGGTTTTGCTCATGTTAACTAATATAAAGGCAGAGTATGCTTTAATTATTTAAAATATACATAGAGACATTAGGCGTTTTTGAGCAAGAGACTCGAAATATCAGCTGTACTTTGGCCAGGATGCAATAATGTTTTATATATGTATATACACTATATATGTATATGTATACAAATAAATTACTTTTAAGTGTTACTTATGTTTATTAATTCTTAAACCCATATTACATTAAATAACTAACTTTATTTTTCATATTTTGCTAATATTCGTATTTCAGGCTTCCTTATTCTGAAAATCTCAGAAATCTTTCACAATATTTCAAATATGTAGTAAATATTTCATAAATTCTAACGATTCTCCTTAACTGAGATTTCAGCCCAGAAAAGCGTTAGCCTGAATGGGCGTCTCGAAACGAGATTTTGCTTCGTCCACTCTAAACGGCTGTTAACATTTCAAAGAGAGTGAGTGAGCGCCACCAAGGAAGACCACTGACCTGGCCTTAGCCTCACAGTGTGATATCTTCCTGGCAGAAACCATCTACTCTCTGCTCCACCCTGCTCCGGGAACGAAGCCGAATAGACGGCTAAGAGCCTCATAAAGTCCACATGTAAGCTTGGATGTTGTTGTACGGGGAAAGAGTATCCTGTTAGGAACTACTTGAAAATTAAACAAAGGAGCAATCAAAAGACTGTTAAGAATCACTGTTAGAATAGACAGAAACTTGGGTTAGATAAAGTAAAGATAGGAGGACTCTGCCTGAAAAATTAACTGCCGTGGATTTTCTGGACTTGCTAAATGTCTACATGCGGATGCTAATCCTGTCACAACTGTCATATATTTATGGGGCTTTTGTAAAATCGTTGGTGTTGTCACCAAGTATTAATCGCCCTGCACTATTTTTAAAGGAATTAAACGATGAAGAATCTGCATGTATGTTTGTATGTATGTTCCTCGCACTGTGGAAAACGATGGTACCTACGGACATCAAATTTTAAATAACGTTGTCCTCCACCCGAACATGTGCAAATAGAAGACCGAAATATGAATTTCGCATTTTATATTTCATAATTTATAAAACTTTAATAATTGTTTGATTAAGAAACCCGACGATTCGAAAGCGAGCAGTGGCAACACTATATGGAATGAAACATTTTTCTCTCCAGCTCCCGAGACTAGGTGTCGGAAATTCTAAAGCTATGCTGTTTTTAAATAGTTTACGCTTTTGCTTTTGAATTCAATTTTATGTTGCCTAAATGCGAAGAAGACGATAGTTAATCAATAAATTTAAGACACGAAACGTTAAAAACAGAAAGGCAAAGAAAGGTTTGCAGGCTGTGTTACTAAGAAAACTGAACATTGTTATGATGAAATGAGAAAAGACTAGAAAAAAATAGAAAATGTATGCCAACACTTTAGAATGCATCGAGAATTCTAAACGTATGCTGCTGTATTGCTTTTAAAATTTTTATAATTTTGCTATTGAATTGTGCATGGCATTAGTGCGAAGAAAAGGATGATTAATAATAAAGCTAAAAAGACAAAAGGAAATGGGTTAGTAAGAGTGAATTCACCAACAGCGAAGGCGTAAAAAAAAAAAAAACTTAACAAACCTTTTTGGGCCACCGCTAAAATATGAACCCTTTCAGGTTTTTCGTTTCTTTTCTTTATTTTTTAACATTTAAAAATTAGTTTTTCCAGCATGAATATTATAGCATAAATTCGTAATAAGATAAAATTTTAGTTTGATATCTTTCCCGTTTAAATATTACCTTGTATGTAAAACTTACTAAAATAAAAAGTAAGAGTAAAATTTTTTATTTCATCATTATATGAAATACTTTTGGTTGAGCTAATTAATTAGTCAGTAACTACATTGCTCTCAATTTTTTTAAACACATAATAGACCCAGTTTTCTAAAAGTGTTATTAACACAAATTTTCAATTACTCGAATTTTCTTTTATATAGTCTATTCAATTTGCATTAAATTAGAGGTGAGCAAAATTGTTGTTTTGTGGGATCAGGTTGGAACCATTCGTTCATTGAAATAAATTGTTTCTTTTTTTACGCTTTATCGCTCACTAAGAATACCTTTGATGAATAAAGGGGAGACGGAATAGGGAGTGAATCAAGAGCGGTGTGAGAGAATGGAACGAAGAGCTGAAAGATTCGAACAAGTAGTGAGATGAGGAAAATCGACTCATTCGAATCCCTAACTCCTTGGACTTAGAGCTCTCAGTGAGTGGATTCTAAAGAAGCTTCCGCTCAGTTTTGTTTAATCACTGTTCACTATAGTGAATCGACCCCATCAGTCAGTTAGAAAGTGAATATCACATCTCCACATTAAATAAAAACATTTTAGTTAGAAAAAATATAAATTAAGTCAAAGTTTTCTTCATGTGCAACACAAATACCGGCAAATTTCCATCAGGAGTCTAATGGAGATACCACAAATAGTTATCTGCATTAGACAGACAGAGTTAATGTATTTAGATATGATTAATGATACCAATGAATTAATGCGATTTTTAGAATGAAAGAAAATAATGACTACTTTTAATGCTAAATTATAATTTCTTCAAATGGTAAAAAATATTGTGCTGTGTTAATGATATTTCTCCTTAAAAGCGGGAATAGCATTCTAAATTAAATGCATGTACTGTGAAATAAATACTTTGTTTATGAAATAATTTCCAAATTTCTATGAATTTCAAAATTTGCTCTCATATAAATTTAAAATATGATTCTATTCTAACTAGAATTTTCTTTTTAGTAGATGCAAGGTCTCATTCAAATGGTGGCTGTCCATACCGAATGAAACCTATACACTCCTTTTTCCATGGCGTTGTGTGTGCACGGAGTATACATGACATCAATGAAGGAAATTACATCCATTCAGTGGATTTAATAGACAGAAAAACGCTAGAATCAGAGAAATTAAAAAATAATCCAACGCTTTCTCCTTTGAAGAGCGAAGATTTTCAAGTCTCATCAGGTAACGAATATGTCAACCAAGATCATGCGACATCATCTAAAGAAAGCACACTCAGAGCCACCACTAAGGATAATGCTATCGTATCTACAATCCAGGCGTCAAAAAATGTAGCACAGATAAGGGAAAAAGACTCAGTTACTGTTACTGATAATATAAAGGGGAATAGTAAAGGTTCTTCAGAAAAAAGTTATGATAAGGCAAGCAAATCCTCAGAAAGGGCATCCTTTGCTTCAACACCGACTATATTAAACGTAACCAATGCTAGGACTCAGAAGATACAGCCAACTATCTCTACCGTGAACGACAGATCTTCGGAAAGGTCCTCCCCATTCAGAAATATCTTTTACACAACCACATTTAGCAGTCATGTAAATAAAAATGTGTTTTCAACAAAAACATTAACTACGCAGAACAACAGAGAAAAAGCTTTATTTTCGAAGGGAGATGCGTCCGGTAAAAATTCTATTGTAGTATCAGTTACGAATGTGGAAGTTACACCAGGCGACGAAGAACTCTCAACAGTTTCCTCAGCTGAAAGAGTATCTTCATCCACAACGCATTCTATGGTCAAAACAGTCAAACTGGTTGAATCAGCAGCCATCTCAACTAAGGAAGAGGAACCAGATGTTATTATAGAAGCAATGTCATTTACACAGGAGGATGCGAACATCAAATCCATAAAACTAGTCTTTTCAGTAGTATTTCTAACCGTTGCTACCATATCAATAGCTTTACTCGTTACTTATATGATGAAGGTTAGACGGAGATATACCCAGTATGACGAAGTTGTACTACTACCATGAACCGAAGGTGCAAAATCTTTACTAAGCATTTTATAAACAAATAAGATGTAATCTTCTATTAACTGTTTGTTTTTAATTTTCATATATTTTACGTATTTTAGAGCTAGGTTAAAAGTTTACCATGCCTAATTGCTAAATGTAACTAATGCATGTAATTGTAAAACGTTTTCTTATGTAACCTTATAGAGGGGGGGATAATCCCTTTTTTATTATTAGGATCATTGGCGCATTAAAAAAGCTACTTCTTCAGTTGAGAAGCTTTCATAAAAACGTTGCGCACTATTATGGCATGTAGGAAGAAAAAGGTCAAAGTTTCAGTAAACCTAAGTAATTACTTAGAATTTCATCATTTTAAAAATTAAATCTTGTACCATTATTATGTAAACAATTATATCAATTAACGTATTTTCAAAGGTTAAATATATTATATTTTACATGCCAGTGTCTTTTACATGCCATCTTAATGTGTTATAGTAAACTGCAGATGAATAGATACTTATTTCAACTGTGCATAAGTTTGTGAAAGTAGAAAGATATGGCTTGAATGCATGAATGAATGCGCTCAAGCTATTATGTTACTGGGCAATAAAACATGAAAAGAATCTTTTTGTAAGATTTATCGTTCGAAAATATTTTAATTACCAGGTTTCCTAAAAATTTCGCCATAAAATTTATTTTTCTTAAAATTATTATATCATGTGTATTAAAAAAAGATCTTTTAATGATGTCCTTTGTTTCATTGCATATTAATCATCAATTTCTTGAAAAAGTATTATATTTTTTGCATTTATATTATACACAATGAGGTTCATATTAATGCATTTTTAGCAAATAGCATTTATCAGTATTCATGTGATTATTTTATGTGCAATTAAAAAAAATAAAAGAATTTTTGTGACACTGATTGTTCGACTGGATTTTGACTATCAGATATTTTTCTAATTTTCTTTACATTTTGTTTTGTTTGTAAATAAGTTTGACATTTCTTCAAAATTAAGTCAATGGAAACACATTTTTTGCAAATAATACAATATCTTCTGCATCATCTTTTACATTTATCCGTTTGTCGAAAAAATAGCAAACGTATAAATTTTAAGACTTTCATAGGCAAGAATCTATAAGCGAAATTCCTCATTGCAAGATATAGAATAAAATCTCGGCTCACGAATTTAATTTGTTCTTGAAGGGCATTCGTCAACCAAAAGGTTTCTAATCCATAGCAATTTTCCCTAACGAATTAATAATGTAAAATGCATGAATGAATGTTTGTTGTTTGACTTCTGAATTAGTAATGTAAAATGGATTAATTTTTTCATGGACCATACACGATTAAACTGTACACCTATGTAGATTTTACACAAGTTCATAATCCGAAACTACTGTAAATCATTATCTATAAAGCAAAAAACATAGCGCCGTCCAGACGGTATAGTGGTTAGGGAGCCTACTTCGGTAACGAAGGGCCCGGGGATGGAATAAGTGAAAAAAAGTAGGGAAGATGATATTGTTTGGAAGGTAAACTCCCATAAAAATATAGTCTTTTTCTTTTACCTTTTCTTTGTCTCTGAGCGCAACTTGGCACTGCATGAAACTCATAATTGCAAAAGTTGGAAATATTCACCCAAAATTTGCCCAATGTTATTTGTTCTTTCCTACATTTTAAAATGTTTCTGAAACAAAAAATAGTATCTGCACAGCAAATGCTTATGCTGTAGCTTGCTATTTCCAGGGTTCGTACACATTTCTGCACACAGAAATTAAGTACTTTTAAGGACTTTTAAGGACCATTAATGAAAAAGATTAAGGACCTATGAGCAAATGAAAACTGAATAAATTCAATTTAAAATATTATCTATGCCTGAATTCACTTTTGTAATACATCCTAAAATAAAATCGATCCCTAAGTAGTATACCTTATTACTAACATGAATTATTAACATAATTATAATAGTTTGAGAATAAAATAAACTTTAGAGAGAGACCTGCTGACTTGAACAAACCTGAAAGGCCTGATGTAGGCACGGTTGGCAAGTGTTGAAAGTCAGTCAGGCTCTTTTTGATGAATAGCTTTATGTAGAGTTCTAGGGATTGTAACCCAGTTAATATACTTTAGGCTTCCAATAAGCCATTAAAGAACCACAGGTCATAAGTTGTTTTGTATTATTTTAAGTCTGACTAGATGCAAAGAGAAAGTTTTACTTGAATTTTTACATTTTTGTAGTTTATCTTGTGACCACAGTGAGTGTTAGTGAAAGGTTTTTTAAGGGTAAACAGTTGGTTATAAATAATTAAATTAAGTAGTTTAATAAACTTAGTAATTATGGATTTACATGGCCACCATTAAATTTTATTTTTTAACAATATTTGTTAAAAATGCCCTGTTAAAATCAAAATCTAATAAAATTTCACAGTTTAAAATACATGCAATTTATGACATTCTTAGGATAATTACACATTAAAAGCTACAAAAAATTTATGTTTTGTAACAACAACACTCAACAAAATACTTATCCATCATTTTAATTTGAAGCCTTTCCAGACATTTTGGCTAGTTTATATTGATTTCCTTTTCTTTAAGCTTCTTTCCTAACAATTAGAGGTTTGTTTCAATATGCAAACCAATGCTCTCGCTAGTTTCTGCGTGCTTTATCTCCTAACTTGTCAACCTCTCCACAATGTACTTATGAGAGTTTACTTGATCTGGTAAAAGTTAAATAGTCCAAAACCCCCGACAGACGTGAAGCATATTATCGCTATGTCTGAAAGTAACTACAGTATCAGACAAAGGTTTAAATAAGCCTCTTATTTAAAAAGAACTTAAAAGATAAAGGCATGTTCTGATGCTAACAAAATCAATTACAGCTCACAGTGACATAATTAAACAAGAACAGTCAAATTCAAGCTAAAAATGTGGACTAGTGGTCAAAGCTTATACAATTTAATTTTAATTTAATCTGGCTCAGTAACTCTATCATACGAGGAAATAGAAATGAGAAATTATAGTAAAGGCTGAAATCATAAATAATTGGGTAATTTACATAGTAATAACTGCACATATCTTTGAAGAATAATTTTCTTTATGTATTCAGTTTCTTTCTTCAACATGTTTCCTTTTCATTTTAGAATTTTTGGATTTAATTAAGGATTTCTGTTATTCTAAAAATACTAAATGCATTAGAATGTACAGAAAAAGCGGCTAGTTTTATTTAGTAATTGAATATTTCAGAAGAAATATGAAATATATTGGTAAAGGCCAGTTACAGAGCTGATGTGGCAGAATTTTTAGAATTGAATGATACACAACAAACAAAAAATCTAGAAATGGCAAACTTTTAGAATTTAGAGCTGGCATTGGAAGCATTTAGAAAGGCACTAGGCAATAGAATTTAGGATGCACAGAGATTGCATAAAGTGGGAAAATGCCTAGTGCCAGCTTGCGTGTATGGGTGCATTAAGACATATTAGATTAATCTTTTAAATTATAAATTTTCAATTTTTTATTAATAAAAAAATCCCTTTCTATACGCCTGCCCATGTATAGATTAGATACATTTTTGATATTTTCCATGCTTGTGTTTAGTGAAAAGTGAGAAAAAAGGAAGACAAACATGTTAAGATTTCTAGTATCAGAAGTAAAACATTCAAATATTATGTTTTCATTGTTCTTCCAGATGTTCTCCAAAAAGTAAGAAATTCATTGCAAACTTTCTATAAAATACATCCATTACGTGTTGATACCATGGAAACATTTTTCATTTTGTCACATATTTCTCGAATCTTTTAGAATCGTGGCTCTATAAATCTTGCCTTTAAATCCTTCTAAACTTTCCAAGCTGCAATGTCTAAAATCCTAAAGAAAAATTATCCCTACCAATTCTGTAACAGCAAAAGGCCAGAAATATTTGGAAAAAAAGAGAGGGGAAAAATGTAAAATTAATTTTATAGAGAAAACTGATGCATATTCTGAGAATTCTAAATACTCTGAGACGAATACTCTAATACATGGGAAAAACTCTTATTATGAAAAATTAAAAAGAAGACTTTTTAATTAATTACATAGATAATTTTGCTTTTGCTAAGAGCTATTTCGTAAATTGTGCTTTATAGCATTATGCCTTGTTTATTTTTCAGATTCAAAATATTGTATAATAAGTTGCCAAAATGAAACTTTATAATATGACAGTGGAAAATAAAAATGTTTTATTTTAATGTTTATTTAATATAATGTCAATATATTACCATTATTTTAATAAAATTTATCAATGTTATGATGTTTTAAAAAAAATCATCAAAAAATTCTCAGATTTCGTAATTAAAAATTTTCTATAGAAACTGATTTTAAAATCGCCAAAATTTTGATAAGTCGCCAAATTTAGAACCGTTTAATAAAAGAATTCCCATCACCAAAAGCGAAAAGTTGTTTAAGAGCTCTTTATTAGAAAAATTGAATTTCGTTATGCTTATGTTTCACTTCTTGCTCAGAACCTCGAGTATCCCATCATTTATATTAGAAATAGAAACAACCCATGAACCCATTCAAAAGATAACCATATACCATATATGTCAGTGAATCGCCAAAAATATTACTCTAAAATGTTAATTTACACTCAAAATGGCAGTCATAAAAACAAACAGAAATTTCAGATGATTAAAATTAAGGACCTTTTGCTGATTTTGGCCAAAATTAGGACTTTTAAGGACCAAAAATCGATTCCAAAAAATCTAAGGACTTTTAAGGACTCTTAAGGACCGTACTAACCCTGTATTTCTTAATAAGGGCAACATCGTTGAGGGAAAACCTTGCACCTTGCCCCATTCTTCACAAATTTTGTAGATCAGCGAAACTAAGGTCACTTGCCTTTCTTTTTCTAAGAGCATTTATTTCATTAACTGTTTTTTGCTGTTTCTTCTGAATCTTTGTAGTTCTATCTTGTGGAGCTCACATTTTCAGGATCTGTAGAAACGTTTTCAATCTACTCGTACAATCGTATTTGCACCAATCTACTCGTACAATGTCGTATCTCTAGGTACAGTTAGGATTTCCTAACTGTACCTAGAGATACAATATCATAGATCGGAAGTGTCATTGGACAAAGTCTAGTCTGTAAATCAATCTGACGATGATTTATTTTCTTCATTTCGAATTCATGATTCTATAGGTCACTTACTGCCAGGCTTTGTTTATGAGAGTTAACGATGCAAAATATTAAAATTATGTTTCCAGAAGTTCATGAGTGTTCATCATGTACAATAAGTTACCTTAAAATACGTTTGAAAATCATACGTTGCTAGCTGGAATTATCGTAACTCAAGACACGTTTTGTCTTCTGAGGTAATATTTATTCAGATAATTTCGTTTGTTAACCAACTTATTCGTAAAGTGAGGCGCTCGTGATCCGAAACTCTATAAGAATCTTTACAAAAAGTTTTGCTAAAAGACAAACAATAGTTTGTGATAAGTTTGTCTTTCAGGTATCTAGCATCTATAGCCTTTTGTTTGCTAATAGACAAACAGCTTAGGTTGCAGCAGGTTCGCTAAAAGACAAACAGCCTAGGTTGTGATTTTGTAGTTGTACTGGCAGATGGATTTTATGCTAGTTCCATCATAACCCTTTAAATATTAAAAATCCCAGACCATTTCAATGTTCCACTCGCTATCCAAACAAATATCGCTGTCTACAATAAATTCATTTTATTCAAGGATGTCATTTTCACATAGTTTTAT